CTGCGGTGACGGATAAACATACGGATCCCTTCTCAGAGGCCCCTATAAATATGATCAGTATGGCCTGGGCGGAGAAGAGAAAAGAGAAGGTCACAAGAGAAGAAGAAATAAGACTGGTTGACAAACCCATAAAAGGGGGGGTTAACTTGCCTGAATATCCAAAAGCCGCCATATTCAAAGGAAGGGTGCTGTGCAGTAAGTGCCAATGCGAGTGTGAACTCGAAATACCACCCGCGGGAGCCCTCATAGATCATGAACTGATCAGGAGGAATGAAGAACAAAAGAGAAAAGAGGCACAAGAGAAAGCTCGACGGACTGCAGGAAGGGATACGTCCCGAAGTGTCTTTTAGCGGTTAGGAGGCGATTCCCAACCAAGGGCTTTATCAGAAATATTTCGAAACCATGAAGTTTCTAAGGAGGTAGAGGATAAAGATGCCAAGAATCCAAAAGAGAGAAGTGTAGGGTACTCTCAGTACGGCCATATGGGAAGAGAGGTCAAGAGGAATGACAGGATAACAAACCCCGTCACAAAAGATAATCCTGCCCGCCTCGGGCGAAAATGGTATGTGGTAGAGAAGAATGGACAGCCCGTTAAGCAAATGGGTGCCTTCATGGTCAGAAAGGTTCAGAGGCAACACAAAGCCCACATGAATTCCTTGAAATCCCCAGCGACGTCGGAAGCTTCCAAAAATCAAAAGTTAGAGAAAACGTCATCTGGGGGGAGCAGTCAGCTCCGTTGGAGAAGTAAGAATGAGGTGGAAAAGGCTAACAGCAAGATTAAAGGCGAAGGAAATCATGTGCCACAAAGCCTACACCCTGGGAAATATAGAATCTTGAGGAGAGCTCAAAAAGATATGGTTATGGTGCCGACTCCCGGATGGAAGGCAGAGTAGCCTATTTTCTTTGGAACTGTCTCCCCTGAGAAAATACAACCTTCTCTATCATTAGAGGATCCCTTCGGGGAAGTTCCAAAACAAACACCATGTTCAGGTGTGAATCAGCTAGAGGGGGCATCAGAACCATTGCTTCCACCAGATGCTATGGTGTGGTTGGATGAGTTCATGGACCAGATTGGGAGCAAAAAAGAGGAACTTCCAGAGCCTAGCAACTTTCATATAAACATGGCGTATGTTCTATCTGCTATGTTTGTTGCTCAACCTAATCAGCCCGCCGCCATGGAAGGAGATTATGTAACAACTGAGCCAATGATGGCTCATGTTAATATGGAAATAGCAGAAGAATGAGAGTCGGGGAAAGCTGCATCATCTAAAGCATCCAAAGAGGGTCCTTTAAGGATCTACACAGACAAAGTGGTGTTCAGTCGCCCGAACATTTCACTTGCCAATCATCTAAAGCCCATATATGTAACAGCTTATTTGGAGGGAGTGCCCTTCAGAAGGATTTTGATTGATGGAGGGGCAGCTGTTAATGTATTACCAGCCAAGCAGATGAAAAAGTTGGGGAGAGGCACAGAGGATCTTATTCCTACAGACCTCACAGTTTCTAGTTTCTCGGGCGCTATCACCAAGACTCTTGGGATATTGCCTTTGGAAGTAAATCTGGGGTCTAAACAGATCATGGCGTTCTTTGTGGTGGACTGCACCTCCACCTATGGAGCCTTACTTGGAAGAGATTGGATCCACCAAAGTCTTGCTGTACCCTCCACCCTACATCAACAAGTGGTGTGTATCATGAGGCAAGAGCGGAAGGGCCAGACTTTTGGGAGATGGTAGAGGCCGAATCACGGCCATTTCTTCCCACAACCAATATAGCGGAAGCAAGTTTCTACAATCCCAATGTAGGAATCTTGAAGTGTTTGGGAGCAGATGAGAACGGCCGCCCTACCAGGTGACGGCCCAAAAGCTCCTAGAACAAGGGATGCTCCTTACTAGAGAGGAGTGGGACAGACCTTATATCATCCCAACACCCCTACACCATCAATGATAGAACAAAAAAGGAAAGATCAGGTAATGGCAGTCAGATCCCTGATTAAACGACTGTTGGTGTATGGGAAATGAACAAGATAAGAAAATGAGCTCTTAGACAGAGAAGAGCAGGAATGGCAGGTGGGAGCTTTAACCAGCCAGGATGAAGGTAACGAGGAATCTTGTCAAGAAGAATTGGAAAGGGCCATTCAAATGGCCGAGTGTATATATGACCTAAATGAGTCAGATGACTTGCCCGAGAGCCTGGAGCTAGTCAAATTTTTGTGTGAACCTGATAAGCTACCACCGGAGGTTTAAGATCCTTTGGAAGTTATTGAGCTAGGAACAAAAGAGGACCCAAGACCAATACAAATCAGTGGTTTATTGGAGAGTGAGGATCGGGCACAAATTATCTGTCTCTTGCAAGAATTCAGAGATTGTTTTGCTTGGCATTACACTGAGATGTCGGGTTTAGATGCAACCTTGGTGGAACACAGAATGCCCATCAAGGAAGGATATAAGCCGGTTAAGCAAGCACCACGAAGGATGTCGAATGATATAGAAGATAAGGTCAAAGAAGAGATTGAGAGGCTCGTAAAAGCCGGATTTATCAGGCCAGCCAAATATGTGGAGTGGTTAGCCAACATTGTACCCGTTTTAAAAGCCGTAACAAAAGCGGTACGATGTTGTGTTGATTACAGAAATATTAATGGTGCTACACCTAAAGATGAGTATCCTATACCCATAGCAGATCTATCCATAGATGCAGTAGCAAAACACAAAGTCTTATCTTTTATGGATGGAAATGCCGGGTATAATTAGATAAAGATGGCCCCGGAGGATATACATAAAACAGCTTTTAGGTGCCTTGGGCATGTGAGGGCATATGAATATCTGATCATGCCCTTCGGGCTCAAGAATGCTGGTGCAACCTACCAAAGGGCGATGAATGCCATCTTTCATGATCTGATTGGCCATAATATGGAGGTGTATATTGATGACATCGTGGTGAAATCCAAGATGGAAAAACAGCATCTGATAGACCTCAGGCAGGCATTAACAAGAATGAAGATCCACAAATTAAAGATGAATTCAAAGAAGTGTGCGTTTGGAGTGAAAACGGGCAATTTCTTAGGATTCCTGGTTCATCAAAGAGGGGTAGAAGTGGACAAAAATAAAGCTCGGGCAATAATGGAGTTGCTTTCACCCACCAACAAAGTGCAACTTCAGAGGCTGCTGGGTAAAATTAATTTCTTAAGAAGATTCATTGCCAATCTAGCGGGCAAGATCCAGCCGCTGACTCCTTTGTTAAGACTGAAGGATAAGGAGAATTTCGAGTGAGGACCACCGTACCAAGAGGCTTTCGATGGTATCAAAGCTTATTTGACTTCCCTGCCAGTATTGGTACCACCTCAGAGGGGAAAACCCTTAAAGCTATATATCTCCGCTTCAGATAAATCAATTGGGAGTTTGCTGACTCAGAATAATGAAGGCGGGAAAGAGCAGGCAGTGTACTACCTCAGTAGAATTCTGACCGAGGTAGAAGCAAGGTATTCCCCAGTAGAGAGATTGTGCTTAGCTCTGTATTTTACTGCCAATAAGCTGAGGCATTACATGTTACCTTGTCACGTGCACATCATCGCCAAGACAGATGTGATAAAGTACATGTTGTCAAAGCCAATGTTAACAGGAAGGATTGGGAAGTGGATTCTGGCATTATCAGAATTCAGTTTCCAGTATGTCCCCCAAAGGGTAGTAAAAGGCCAAGCAATTGCAGACTTCTTGGCGGAGCATCAAGAATCTCGAGATGAGATAATCAATATACCAAGAACCCTGGAAGTTACTAATGTTTGGATCCTGCCAGGCAAAGGGATCTCGGGCAAAGAGGAGTGGATCCAGCAGGAGATAAGAAGAGTGACTGGTTTATGGATTACTCCTTGGAAGCTGTATTTCGATGGTTCTTATACTCAGAGGGCTTCAGGAGCTGGGATTGTGATTATGAACCCTCAAGGGATTTATCATTATTACTCATTTCTCTTGGATTATCAAGGGAATACCAACAATCGGGCAGAGTATGAGGCCTTAATAATTGGTTTGGAAATCTTGATGGATCTGGGGGAAATGGAAGTTGAGGTGTTCGGTGATTCAGAATTGGTAATAAACCAGCTAAATGGGGAGTTCAAGTGCAGACATATCACCATGGCCGGATACTATTTGGTGGCCATACAATTGTTGAGTTATTGGGATTCTGATATATCGGTGAGTCATGTTCCCAGGGGAGCCAACCTAGCAGCTAATGAGATGGCGCAATTGGCCTCAGGCATGCCAATATAGGAAAAAAGATATGGGTTGGATGTCGAGATTCAAATGAGAAATCTTCCTTCTATCCTGGAAAGGGGATTCAGCCTGGATGTAATGGTTCAGGAAGCTGAGATAGAAGATTAGAGATTGCCCATCATCCATTATTTGAAAGATCCCTCTTCACCCACTAGCAAGAAGAATAGACAGCAAGCAACTAAGTATGTCTTATGGGCAAAAGACCTACTAAGGAAGACTCCAGACGGGTTATTATTGAAATGCTTAGGCCAAGATGAGTCCATAAGAGTGATGGCCGAAGTACATGAAGGAGTATGTGGAGCACATCAAGCGGGGACAAAGATGAGGTGGTTACTTAGGCAATATGGTTATTTTTGGCCCGACATGGAAAAAGATTGCAAGTCCTATGCCCGAGGGTGTGAGGAATGTCAAAGGCACGGTCCTCTCCAACATGTACCCTCTGTGCCTTTAAATCCAGCAGTCAAGCCCTGACCCTTTAGAAGATGGGCAATGGACTTCATCGGGCAGATTTACTCGGCTTCTAGCAAGGGGCACACTTTTATCATTGTAGCAACGGATTACTTTACCAAATGGGTGGAGGCCTCGGCGGTGAAAACCATAACCTCAGCTGCGGTAAAAAAATTTATTGAGACCAAGATTCTGCATAGATTTGGGGTGCCCGAAACCATAGTGACGGATCGAGGGCCATCTTTTATTTCAAAATAAGTTGAAGAATTTGCAAGCAAATACAAAATAAAGATGATCCGGTCCAGTCCTTATTACCCGCAGTCAAATGGCCAGGCAGAATCCAGCAACAAGATTTTGGTAAACATTATCAAAAGAATGGTGATAGATAGTCCAGAAAAATGGCATGAAAAGCTGGGGAATACTCTGTGGGCATACAGAACTTCCAAGAGGGCAGGTACAGGGACAACTCCTTATGCTCTAACCTTTGGGCAAGATGTAGTGCTTCCCATGGAGATCAATGTGAGTTTTGTCAGAATTTAAAATCAGTTTGGGTTACATAGCGAAGAATACATCGAAGCCATGTGTCAAGGGATTGAAGACTTAGATGTAGCCCGAATTGAAGCACTGAACCAGATTCAGGAAGGAAAGAGGGCTGTTGCCCGAGCGTATAACAAAAGAGTGAAAGCAAAATCTTACAAGGAAGGAGATTTGGTGTGGAAGACAGTTCTTCCTCTAGGAGCTCAGCTTAAGGGCTTTGGAAAGTGGAGCCCGACGTGGGAAGGTCCTTTCATAGTTAGTCAAGTATTAGACAAAGGGGGATATTACTTGGCGGACCTCGAAGGGAATTGGCAGAAACATCCCATTAATGTTAAATTCTTGAAAAGGTATTGTCCTACATAATGGGATGTTAGGGATTGTTACATCGAGGATGATGCAAAGTAAAGCAGGTTTCGGGATGCTAAAGTATAGTGTATATTCATCAGTCATTCATGAAGACAGAAAGACACAAGATTGTTAAGATATTGTTTATTTTCATTTTCGACAAATTGGTGAAATTTACAACAAATTCAATTCAATCCCGATGTACTACGTACGACTCCTTCCAGGTGCAATGACATCTCAGCTGGTTTTCTGGTATCTTCATGGGTAGAATCTGGTCAGGTGATCAAGTTGTGCAGCCAAGACGCGTCTGGTAGAGGATCCTCAGGCAGAGTCATCACCATATATGATGGTGAAGCCTGACTTATCATGGCGATGAGCGGAAAGGCAAGTCTTCATGGGAGCACCGCCTGACCAAGGGTGTTGGAGATAGCGGGGTGCCTGACCAAGGGTGTTAGGGATAGTGGTTATTTGATGAAAACTCTTTTTCTCACAAAAATGGAGTTTTAGGAAACCCCATTTGAATCTTGAAAAGCTCATTTCTCAGTCTTGGGGAGAAAACTAAGAAGGCAAAAATACTTAGGGTTAATTGAAGCGAAGGTTGAAGGAATTTGGTTGACTGAGCAAAAGGCAAAATCAAACCTGAATTTATAGAAACCTCAGAGGGTAACCCAAAGGTCATGAGAAGAGCAAGAGACACATGGTCGTAGGCCTCCTGTCTGGAAAAACACAAGTTCCAAGAGCGGGTATACAAGCATGCGGATATTCAATCAATATTGGCGCCTAGAATTCCAGTCTGAATATTGATTGAAGGGGGCACTGTTTGGGTTGAAACTTAAACTTTGGGCTTAGAAGGGAGTTGGCCCAAAAAGAGAAGGAAAAGCTCGAAGCTCAGCCCAGACTTAGAAAGCAGAAAGGGCCTTTCCTGACTAGGTGCTGATCATTTGCACCACTTGCTCACCTACCCAAGGGCCAAGTGGTATAGACCAGCCAGCTAATCAGCCCAAAAGTACTTTATGATGGTAGTACAAGTAAATAGCTGATAAGTCACTATCCTTCAAACTGCATTCGGGCAAGATTATTGCTACAGGAGGCCAAGCCAAGGTGGCTATAAAAGGAGAAAGAGAAGTCAGAATCAAGGACACTCAAACAAACAAACAAAAGCACAAACTTTGCTCAAAGCCAGATTTGCCTTCAAAATGAAGTTGTAGTAAGCCCAAGCCTTCATCCCTTTCGAGACAAACCTTTTGTAATAGCTCTGCTACCCTATTCAACACCTGCTGTAGTATCGATTTTCTTTTTGCAAACTCATTTCCCAACCCCTTTTCTAAGCCTTCAAACCTTCTGTTAACCCACAAAGATAGGAAGTTGCAAGACGATCAGCCTTGCCCGACCTCCTTTGTTTTTGTCTTTTCATTCATTAGCCTAGCAATATGTTGTATACTTCAAGTTGTATCCAAGTTATTTCTAGTAATATGGCTATTAAAAGACTCTCTTAGCACTTGAATCCGATTTGAATATGTCTTCACAGTTCAAGCCAGATCTAAGTTCTAAGCCCTCGGGCATATAAGATTTGATCACCCTAAAAAGTCCTTGGCCTCAAGGCATGAAAAAGAACCTGATGTGGACTTAACCTATCCACGACAAGCTTTGATAAACAAGAAGTCCGAAGTTACTTGGGACGCAAGTAATCGACCTGCCACTTAGTTTTATTTCTGTTATATTATGATGACCATATAACATTCGAGTACGGGATGAATTCTGATGGGAAGCCTCAAGGCCTATTCAAGGCCCACAAAGGCACCTATTTGGATTCATCCTATTTCTCGGGCAAGAACATTGAGTATAGAAGGAATTCTGATGGGAAGCCTCAAGGCCTATTCAAGGCCCCACAAAGGCACCTATTTGGATTCATTCTGTTCTTTGAGCTCAGGTAATCAGAAGTATGATGGTTATAAAACCCATATAACACACAAAAGGAACCTTATGTGTTTGAGTACTAAGTTAGTTATTTATGGGAAACCTCAAGGCCTACACCTAAGGCCCCACAAAGGCACCTGTCAATAACTAACATAGTCTCTCGAATATATATAATTAAAACTCAAACATCCGTTTTACATCTACCATGCTGAAGATGGTAGTGGCACGCCTGAGCAATTCAAAGTTAATCTTGATCGTGAGCCTCAAGGCCTACACCTAAGGCTTCACAAAGACACCTTTCAAAGTTAACTCTTGCCTTCTCTTTCAGCCTTGCCCGACAAGCCTTGCCCGACAAGCCCGCCAGTAAAGCAGAAGCCCGACAGAAAGCATCAACCGGCGCCAACCTCTCCGGGAGCTGTGTGCTCGTCAACCAGGAAGCATTCCCCACGGAAATTCCCGCCACGAACACGCCTAATGAAAGAACAATTAGAATTTGGAATCTAGCTTTGTTCAATTAATAAAACACGCACACTCGACTTTCTTTTGAGTTTATTTGTTTGGTCTTTCCCTGTATTTAGATATTCGTATCCTTTTGCTTAGCAAATAACAACATTTTTTTTAATAAACAATATTATCTACACTAAAAGGAGTGGAGGAGTAGACTAGGCCTCACAATTGGCTCGTAATAATGTGGTTCAAATTTGCATGTGGCAAAAATCGAATCTAAGACCTCTCACTTACAAGTGAAAAGGAATACACAAAAACTATAGTACAATGTGGCAATAACAGCAATTATTATCAACTTGTTGAAAACCTATCCGCATGAATGCAGATAGAATCTTAAAACAGTAAATCTTGGGAGATCACTTATTTATACTTAATATGTGTCTCATCTCATATGGCACGTACAAATCACTTCTCACGTCAAATGATACACAAATGTGATACAAAAATGTGATCTTCTTAACATTTTTCATCTTATAATCCATGATTGAAAAGTATAAATAAAAAGATGCGCTTTAAAATTGCGTAATAAATTGTTACATAAAAGTGCCAGTGATGGATTAGCTTGTTGAATACAGTTTTTATTTTCTACATATTGTGTCCTAAGTTCAAACTAGTCATTTCCCTTAATAAGTTAATATAATTTAGAGTAATAATACTGATAAATAAAAATATTAAAAATAAAAGGTGCAAAGGAAAAAAAAATTAACAAAACCTCTTGAAGTAGCAGGGATGTCTGAATACTGCAAATTAAAAAGGGTTAATTACATTGTACCACCTCAGGTTTGAGGTCTATTACAACCTCATACAACATTTTCTAAACATTTCACTTTCATACCTCAAGTACTATTTTATTTCAATATAATACATCTGTTACATTTTCCATCCATTGATTCGTTAGGAGCTGACGTGACTGCCAAATTTATACCACGTGATAAAAAATAATTTTTTATACATTAAAAATATTATAATAATTTATCCTGTTAAAAAATTAAAGATATTGTATAAAGTTGTAATAGATCTCAAATCTGATGTGGTACAATATAATTTACCGAATTAATAATTACATATTACGAAAGTGTAATTTACCCAATTAATAATTATATATTACGAAAGACATGAAGTTGTCGTCTTCCTTTTGATTACGGGCCGATAATATTATATCTGAACTTCTTCAACAAAATATTGATCAGTCCATCAAAAAGTTTGAAGGTAATCTCACACAAATCACGTGTAGAGTAGGGTATACATGCATGTCTACCTTTTCAACTAAACCTCATGTTTTCTTGTGGCCTTGTAGGTAGTGAAAGGAGAATATATGTCTCTAAATTAAGAAAATATTAACGAATGTACGCTTGTTTCATAGAAATGTTGGATCTTATATATCAAATGATTAATCCAAGAAAAAGAAATTCAATGAAAAGGATTTAGCTTCAATTTCCCACCTTAAAAATCCCATCAAATTGATACGTACATCCATCACTATGCGGTATTATTCTCATGTGTGGCCTTGTTGTTCAAAAAGGGGATTAGTTTTCTAGAGCATGACCTCTCAAATTCTCAATCCATGATTCCATCAGCAAATTGTATTTATCGTAGTGCTGCTATTTCGATATAGACGTAATACCTTGCCTCCGTTGGACTGTCCCACTTCACCAAACAGTAAATTTTGTTGGTGTTTGACATTACATATTTGTTGTCCCATTTCATTGTGATGATGAAATTGGAAAAATCATGGCTGAGATCGACAGCAATGGAGGCTCACTTATGCAAAGTCATGGCCAACAACCATTTTGTACCTGGAGAGCATGATGGCAGATATATCAACTGGTTATGTGGAGAGTATGTCGGCGAGTCCCTCACCAAGTCTCAGCACCTTGTTAGTTATTACGAGCCAATGTGGTAATTGACTGGTTAATTAATTTTGATGCCATGAACAGATGTAGTTTGTGAATAATTGAGCCTCTTCAGTCTTATTAAATCCGATTAAAAAACGTCTTAATTAATTAATTAATAAAATATTTGTACCATCTCAATTTACTATTAGCGCATAGAATAGTTTTTAATCTCCATAAGGCTGGAGTAGATTTGATAGTAGTTTGTTTATACAATATTTAGGGCCTCATATTTAGATCTCGTACAAATATTCGGGAGATTTAAATGTAATTATGTGATAAAGGAAGGGGTAAATATGTAATAAGTGAGAAGTCCTTATTCTATAAAAGGACCCCTCACCTTCACAATTAAAGGAGACCAATCTCTTAGGCCAATTCCTAGGCCCTCTCACCCCCTCTCAAAGCTCCCACATTACAGAGCTCATTCTCTCTCTCTCTCCCTCAGATAAATACATATCCAGTGTGGACGTAGCCCAAACCTTGAGATGAACCACGATACATCTTTTGTTATTTACATTTCTTGCAGATTCACGGTCGGATTTACGTTGTTCCAAGACCTCCGGTTTTGTGCATCAACATTTAGCGCTGTCTGTGGGAATCGACACAAAAAACTATGTAGGTTCTCTTTCATTTTTTTATCTCACCATTGTGAGACCTCATCACTGTCCTCCGTGAATCTGCAAAATTCAGGGCCCAAAACCTCACTTTTGGATTTTTTTTTCCAGAAAATCCTCTCTCTTCGATTCTCAGAAGAAAATAAAAAGCTTCAGTCTTTCTCTCTTTACTAAAACAGTAGAAGAAACCCAACTCGAGATGCTCCTCTCCTTCTTTTCAAGTCTCAAACTACCAATGGAGAATAATCAAAGTATAAGAAGTGGCAGAGCTGTTTTGGTGACTAACAATGGCAAGGACGAATGAGCAAAACGTCCGCCATTCTCAGCTGGTGCCACGAGTCATCCGTCAATCCTCCCAAGCCTTCCTTCTAGCGCCACCGCCAGGTCAAGATCCCGTAGATCACGATGATCAGACGGCGGACGACGATCG